TTTTTTTTTTCTGCCATGCAGCAGCAGGCTCAGCAGCTTCAGGAAACAGTCACAGAGATGATGACACAGCTTCTGTGACTAGCCTTAACTCTTCTGCCACTGGGCGCTGTCTCAAGATTTACCGCACATTTCGAGATGAGGAAGGGAAAGAATATGTTCGCTGTGAGACTGTCCGAAAACCAGCTGTCATTGATGCCTATGTACGCATACGGACCACAAAAGACGAAGAATTCATGTGAGTGTGTAGTTTTCCCCTTTCTTGTGTGATAAGGAGAATGATGATGATGGGGAATGTTCATGGGGATGAGCTCTTGAGTTGAATAGTACCAAATTAAAAGAATTCTCAATTCACTGCAAAATAAAGTTGCGATTAAAACCATGATCTGATGTGTAAACCCCAACCTAATTCAACACCCCCTCCCCCCGTGTGATTTTAATTGCATAGCTCCTTTGCATAGTGGAATTGATTTATAAAAATCGTAGGGGTTGCACTGGAGTTCTTATTTTGAAAGAGGTGCGCTTCTTTCTGCAAATAGAGCGTGATACGTTAATGGAAATGGCAGTGGCAGACTTGCTTTCTTTTCAGTCTGCATGGATTTTAGCTCTGACATGTTCGGTGTCAGGAAAATCTTTTTGTTTAAGTTTACTTATAATCCTTTGATCTCTTCCCCTCCTTATTCAGTCGAAAATTTGCCCTTTTTGATGAGCAGCATCGTGAAGAGATGCGAAAAGAGCGACGAAGGATTCAAGAGCAACTGAGGCGGCTTAAGCGGAACCAGGAAAAGGAGAAACTTAAAGGTCCTCCTGAAAAGAAGCCCAAAAAAATGAAGGAACGCCCTGACCTAAAAGTAAGTGTAATGTGATATGACTATAACTAACAAAAGAAAGGAAGAAAAAAATTAGAAAAATCCACTACCATCCAGTTGATTCTGACTGAAACTGAATTTCATCTTTCTCATGTGGATCTTCTGGTGGGTTTGAAATGCTTAACCCACAGTACCGCTAGGGCTACTTACATAACTTCTCCCTGATCTTTTGGCTTCTTTACTGTGTATGAAGGAAGTATGTGGAAAGCTGATTTGCAACTATATGGCTACTTTGCTATTAACAGTACTATTGTAAAATGTACCAACAGCACCTCGGCTATTCTCATTGCATGTACACTTAAGCATTTGAGATATTTTTAAAGAATTTAAATAGGTCTTTATACACATGCACACATAATCATGTACTTTTATGAATGCATGCATCTTGTTTTGAAATTATACATATCTCCAAAAGATAAAAATAAAACAAATTAGTTTGTATAACTTAGAAATTCCATGTTACTTTATAATGTGACATGACTGTAATGTACACTACAACATGAAGCAACTGTGTTAAGAATGGAAAGAGCTTTGGACTTGGAGACAATACGCTGCATGGGAAAGTACTTTATAAATAATAAATTATTCAAAGTTAATAGATACTGAGGTCTTATAACTATTGTGGTATTGCTTTCTTACATGCATTAGATAAGTATAATACAGTATTGACCTCATTTTATAGTTGAAACTAATGTCTGAGATGGAGACTTGGTATCATTGATCTTTTCCCTGCTTTTGACATGGGGTTGGGGATACACCCATGCTGTTTGAGTGTGCAAGTGAATGCAGACTTGGGCTTCAATATCCTTTCCCCGTCTAGAATATTTCCATAATTCAAAACTTAGACTGGAGTGGAATTCATTGTCTTTTTTAATTTGTAAAGAAGTGTTAAGTCTCTGGATTTCATTTAATTTTTAATGTATTATATAATGTGGCTTCTGAGTATTAGGTGCCTAACAGTTCTAGTAGAGCAAAACTTTTGAGACCACCCTTGTGTCTCCTGCTTGTGTATATGAGGGGGCATCCTACTTAATTCTGACATATTGATACTTCTTTTTACAGCTGAAATGTGGGGCATGTGGTGCCATTGGACACATGAGAACAAACAAGTTCTGTCCCCTTTATTATCAAACAAATGCACCACCCTCCAACCCTGTTGCTATGACAGAGGAGCAGGAAGAGGAGTTGGAAAAGACAGTCATTCATAATGATAATGAAGAACTCATTAAGGTAGAAGGAACCAAGATTGTCTTGGGGAAGCAGCTAATTGAAAGGTAAGAGATAGGAAGTACTACTGGAAGAGATCTATTAGAGGTTGATAGAGATCTGTTAGAGGTTGATAATATTGATGGGTGGCTTGGGATGGGGATAATGGATAATAAAGGTGCATGTTTTCCCTTAAAGAGTATCAGGAACTTGGATGAGTTTTCTCAGTAATCCTTGCCAATAATGAAAATCAGTCTCTTGAACTAAAGCACTTATTAGGCTCATTGCTTGTCCTTGGTCATACTACCTAACTTTTCTGTCTTTCCTTATTTATACAATGATTAAAAAATACCCTTAGAATAATTAAAATGCTAAAATGAAAAAAATTTAATTTAATTAAAAATTTGTAAATACTAAAATGAGAGCGATTGTATGAAGCATATAGTACAGCATATGGCATATAGTAGGTGCTCAGTAAATGTTAATTTTCTCTTCCTATTCGACATTTGTTTTTTGTAAGACATTTAACTTCAAAATGTTCTGATAATGGACCGTTTAAAAAGATTATGGAGACATACAAACTATAATTATACATATTTCTTAGTCTTCAGAGACTTCATAGGCAAGTGAAGTGTTTGCATTTAAAAAATTATCCTGCTAACATTTTGGTTTGAAAATTATATGGCTACAGAAATGGAAAGAATAATACGATGCATTGTTCTTAAATTCAACAAGTGTTAAACATTTTGCCATACTTGCTTTATATAAGTGAAACTTTTCTCCCATAAACCATTTAAAAATAAGGTGAAGGCATCATGACACTTTACTCCTAAATGCTTTAGGACCTAACTCCTAAGAATGAGAATATTTTAGCATACTATTAGCACATCTATGAAAATTAACATTAATTCAATAATATCTAATATTTAGCCCTTATTCAGATATCTCCAGTTAATTTTAATAATATCTGTACTATCTCCTTCCTATTTATGATTCTATCCAATCCAAATATTCGATTTGGTTGTTAATTTATTGTTTTTAGTCTCTTTTAATCTAGAGCTGTCCTTTCACCCTTTGCATTTTCATAAAAGACCCTAAAAAAATTTTTTTTAAGTCCGGGCCAATTGTTTCAAAATTTCCCAGAGTCTGGATTTGTCTGAATGTTTCCTTGTCAATTAGATTCAGATTAAATGTTTTTGCCAAGATTACCACATAGGTGATTTTATGTACTTACTGTACCACAACAGGAAGCATAGAATGTCAGGTTGTCCCATTATTTTGATCAGCTCCTTAAGAGGTGACCCTCAGATTCTTCTGTACTAAAGGTATGTTTTCCTCTTTGTAATTATTATTTGGAGTGATAATTATGAATATCTTGCTCCCTAAAATTATATTTTAGTAGTTTTAGCATTCATTGACAATCATTGCCTGACTCAGTTATTACCTTGAGGATGGCAAAATAGTCATTTCTTAAATTCTAGCATTCCTTCTACATTGCTAACTTTATCCCTGGACAAATGCTGCCTTTTTGATCTTATATGATTGATTGTTCTAAGGAGTGGGTACCTCCCTTATAAACCTGTCCTTTATCTGAAAGTTGAGCCACTGGGGTGAGGTTAGTTTCAGGCTTTTCAGAGTCCAAGGGCTATAGTCTCAAGGATTCCCCTTTTTATTTCAATTGTATGGATTTAATTCTTTTTGGTGGTCTTATTGTTTGAGATTTAACCCCTTCAAGCCAGATCCTGTGTCCGTTTGAAATTATTGTAATCTTTTAAGTATGTCTTTGCATTCTGAAAGGAGCCCTGGTGGCATAGTGGTTATGCGTTGGGCTGTGATCTGCAAGGTCCACAGTTTGAAACCACCCCTTTGGAGAAAGACTTTCTCCTGAGTAGAAGGGGCTTTATACTCCCCTTAACAGTTATAGTCTTATAACTCATAGAGGCCATTTGGTTTTGGGTTTTTGTTTGTTTTTGCATTCTGATATGAGATGTTTGAGATTCTGCTTGAACTTTTCCTGCCTCAAACCTAGATAGAATCAATCATTTCTCCAAGGAGCCTACATTCCTTTTGTCTTGGGAAATAGTATTTAGCAACCAAGATTTGGGTGACAGGCATGCTAATTGTTACTGAGATATCATTTCTAGACTCTTTCAGTGGACAGAAGTGGAAGATATATTTTCGGTCATTAGGTATTAGCAATACCTCCAATTCACATTGTACTTACACATTTCCCATCATCTTCCCCTATTTTTATCCCTAACTGATTTTATTCATTTGTTCTGTGACGTGCACAAAATTATTTCTGAATTACTATATCAATAACACTGCCAACAAAATCACATATAAAGTTTCAGGTATTCTTTGTGGTTTATTGTCCAACTATATGGATCTGTTATTTTTGTGTTTAATTACTTTGTTACTATTTGCACTCATTTGGGGATTCTTTATCATTATTGGTTTAATATATCAATATCCATCATCTTTTCCCCCCCAATGTAAAAATTTTAACAAAATATGTACCATTTCAACAGTTATTACATGTACCGTTTAGTGACATGAATTGCATCTTATGCAGTCATCACCACTATGGGTTTCCAGATCTTTTCATCATCCTTAATGGGAACTCAATAACTTTACAGGAATAATTGTTATGTTTTGAAACAAATTAGAAAAGAGAAATGTGATCATCTTGATCCCTTACAATGGAAGGGTAGAAGGTTGGTGATTAAAGGAAAACCAAACTAGTTTGTATTTTTCAGACCAGTTTGTAATTCCTTTCTTGTTTCCACTCTTGAATGAGTAAAATTCCCAGATCCTTAACCCTAAGATAGAATGTTAAGAGCTGGAATGATTTTTTAAATTCCTTTAACCTAGTTACCTTATTTTCTAGTTAGACAACTGAGATGAAGTTGTCGATTTGTGTAGTTCTATATTAATTTGGAGATCCTATAATACAGGAGCGGCGGGGGACCTTTTTTTCTGCCAAGCATCATTTGAGGACCATACTGGTCAAATGTTTAACTCACACCTAATATGATGGCTAGAACTGCTTTTCTCTGGTGAAGTTTATAAGCATCATTTGAGGACCATACTGGTCAAATGTTTAATTAATTCACACCTAATATGATGGCTAGAACTGCTTTTCTCTGGTGAAGTTTATAAGCATCATTTGAGGACCATACTGGTCAAATGTTTAATTAATTCACACCTAATATGATGGCTAGAACTGCTTTTCTCTGGTGAAGTTTATAAGCATCATTTGAGGACCATACTGGTCAAATGTTTAATTAACTCACACCTAATATGACGGCTAGAACTGTTTTTTTCTGGTGAGGTTTATAATGTTAGCTGACATTGATTTCTTGGGCCTTATACGGCCCTCTGACCAGATGTTCCCTACCTCTGATATAATACTTTCTCTGAGTCTTAAAAGGTCTGGGCTTTGGTTTGACTTATTCATTCCGAGTCAGATACTTTGAACTTTAGCATTGGAGATGCATATTTTTCTGGGAGGTAGAAATAGGCTTCATATTATGAAATTTTTATTAATTACAGTGCAGATGAGGTTCGCAGAAAATCTCTGGTTCTCAAATTCCCTAAGCAGCAACTTCCTCCAAAGAAGAAACGGCGTGTTGGAACCACTGTTCACTGTGACTACTTAAATGTGAGTATCTGTATTGCTTCTTCCTGACCACATGGTGTTCTCATTGATTATTTCCAGTCTTCTAAGCCATGAGTCTGACAGAGCCTCAAATTTCCCTTTGGACTAGCCTTGAGAATCATGTGTTCATTACAAGATATCAAAATATATTTGTCTAGCTAGAAAATTTGGCCATTTGCCTAAAAGAGTATTCTTATTTCTTTGACTCCTTAGAGACCTCATAAGTCTATTCACCGGCGCCGGACAGACCCCATGGTGACCCTTTCATCTATCTTGGAGTCTATCATCAATGATATGAGAGATTTACCAAATGTGAGTTCATTGCATCAGTTATCTGTACTAGGGTTGGCAAGGCCTTTTGTTTAGTTTGACGTCAGTTGGAGGGTGGACTTACAGATCTAGGTGCTGGGATATAAGGTTGGAAAGATTCCTTTCAGAGAGTTGATGGCCACGAAGAGAGATAAGATCTCTGAGAGTCTCTAGGAATTGACTCTGGCAAGTGTTATGGATGCTTATGGATGGGGTTGGTTCTTGTTTGCACAGACATACCCTTTCCACACACCAGTCAATGCAAAAGTTGTAAAAGACTACTATAAAATTATTACTCGACCAATGGACCTGCAAACACTCCGTGAAAATGTACGTAAACGACTCTACCCATCTCGAGAAGAGTTCAGAGAGCATTTGGAGTTAATTGTGAAAAATAGTGCAACTTATAATGGTAAGAATCATGTATTCTTGGCTGCAAAGGTCATCTTTCTGGCCTTAATTTACCCCTTTGTTGTTGTTAGATGTGGAGTTGATTCTGACTGAAGGCACTCCATATGTTCAGAATAGAACTGCGCCAGAGGGTTTTCAAGATATTGACCTTTCAAAAGCAGACTGCCAGGCCTGTCTTTTTAATTATCCCTATTAATGTATCCTCTGGAGAATTTGGATTTAATCTGTTGAACAAAAGCAGTTGAGTAGCAAGTAGATGGAGAAACAAGTTGTCATGGTAGAATTATGACTATGTATGTATTTGCTCTGTGTGAATCAGATTTGGGTGTACAGTGTGTATTAGAGACTATTATATGTTCCTGTTATTCAAAAGCTAAAAAGGCAAGGAGGAAGAAATGAACTGCCAATGCTTGATTGTGGGTAAATAATAAAATTTGTACATAGAAAAGGAAAAACTTGTGTTTCCAGTTGTATCCTTAAGTCAGATTCATAGGTGTAAAGATTAAGACCATTAATAGTAGACCATTAATCATGTCTCTGCCACTTAATGAATTGAGTTACCTTGGACAAGTTATTTAGCCTCTTCATTTTTCTCATTTGTAAAAATGGGACGGTAGTAATTATTAGATTAGTCTTTTGTGTATGTGAGGTGAAAAACATAGTAATTCTACAATAGGTATATGTACAATTCAGGGAAATTGCATTCTTCAAGTTGTACAACCGTTATTATCCTTTTCCAAATTATTCCATCAGCATTAACAAACTCAGTTTACTCTAAGCAAAAACTTGACCGTTTATCTGTTGCTGGACATTTCTATTGCTTCCACCTTTTGGCTGATGTGAAAAATGCTAAACACTGGGTCTCATAGCTTTGCCCACCCTACATTTTCTTCTAAAAATTTTATGGTTTTTACATTTAGTTCCTTGATAACATTTTGAATTGTTTTTTTGTGTATGATATGA